ATGTTAATCTACAGGATACATTCTTAGAAATAGAACTATTGGAATCTATATTTGTACTCTTAAAAAAACTATATTTTTATTTGATTCAGAGAGGAAGAGAGAGAGAGAGAGAGAGAGAGAGAGAGAGAGAGAGAGAGAGACATTAATGATGAGAATCATTGATTGGCTGCCTCCTGCACACTCCCCTTTTGGGGATCAAGCCCACAATGCTGGCATGTGATCTTGACTGGAATTCAACCCAGTGCCCTTCAGTCCACAGGCTGGTGTTCTATCCACTGAGCCAAACCAGCCAAGACTATATTTGTACTTTTGATGGATATGGTTAAAATGTTATCTCTGGGGATGGGACCAATTTGCACTTCATTGATAAGCATGTTTGAAAAACTTGAACCATGATTGATACTTATCTTAAAAACAATAAACTAGACTTTTAAAAATATATATGTTGATTCTTGAAATGCATGCAGAAGAGGAATTGCATTTAAAAGCAGCAAAGTATCTTAGAGGCCCTCATTCATTTCCTTTTTAGCTCTGAAGATGAAAGTGCAAATAGAAGAGCTACTTGCCTAAGATCACACAGCTTCTTATTGAAGGATTTGGGACTTCTGACTTATTATTAGATCTTAGGTCTTACAGTCCAGTGTTCTGTCCACACTAGAACAGAGATGATAACAAAAATATAACAAGTAAACATTGAAAAGTCTCCTCTGTTATTTCTGTCTGTGTCTTCAAGATGCCTTAGATGGTGCTCAGTGGTTAGAGTTTCAGTTTGAATTCCCAGCCAAGGCCACATAGATTCCCAGCCCTGTTCGGGGTGAAAACTGAAGGCAACCAATCGATGTGTCTCTCTCATAGATGTTTCTCCCTCTCCTCTCTATCCTTTTCTTAAAAAATATCAATGGGAAAAAAATATCCACTCTCTCTCTAAAAAAAAAAAAAAAAAAATTCAATGGAAAAAAATATCATTGGGTGAGGGTTAAAAACAAAGATGCCTTAACTGCTTAGATGATACTGCTACTGTTGCTGGTGATAATTACTAATTACTATTTCTTAAGCCTCTGCATGCATCAGACATCAAATTAAACACTTATGTTTAAATTATTATATTTATACCATGAGATCCACAAATGTATGTGAAAATGCTATTGTGATTAACAATAAAATATAAGTTAACTACTACAATGCATCATTCAAGTGATAATAGCTGTTTGTCTCCAACTTGTTCTCAGTCAATGCACTTTGAAACTGTTGTTGTGAAAGAGTGGTCTATACTATTTCTGGTATTAAAAATGGATATTCACAAGGCTCACCAGCCACTTAACTATGTTTAAAGTTTCAGTCAACTGCCCAGACATCACTGTGCACTCCATCTGTCTGTCTCTCTCCATTACAAGGTCAAATGTTAATGATGAAACATAGCACAGAAAAGACCCTGGACATCACCTAAGCAGCTGATTTTTTCTGCAGATAAGAAAATCAAGGCAGGGATCAATAACAATGAAAATCAAGGCAGAGGCCAATACAATGATGACTTCATCTGGGGCATTGGATGAGTCGGGCTTAGAGCTAGAATTAGAAGGCAGGGTATGGCTGTGGTTGAGTGTCGGCTTCAGGAACCAAGAGGTCACTGTTCAATTCCCAGTGAGGGCATATACCTGGGTTGCAGGCTTGATCCTCATTGGGGGGCATGTAGGAGGCAGCCAATCAATGATTCTTTCTCATCACCAATGTTTCTACCTCTCTCTGCCTCTCCTTTCCTCTCTGAAATTAATAAAATATATTTTTTAAAAAGAGAAGGCAGGACTTCTAGCTGAATTTTATAGTAGAAAATAAAAAAGCTCCTCACTGTCGAAGAGTTGCTCACAAGTACTAGGAACAATTAAAATGATGAAGAAAATTTCCTTCTGAACCTCACACTGATTTACCTCCACTTTGTGGATCTGAGACATCATTGTGTCGGTTAACACTTACTTGATCCTGGATGTTGTAAATTTAACATAGAGCAGAAAATATATATATATTATATTTTGATGTTGAGGTAGCTCATTTATTGGCTATGCCTTCTCAGATTTTTAAATTAAATGGAGAACTAAAGAAATGCAAGGAGTAGTTTTTCATAAATTTCATTTCCTTTATGTGGACAATGGTGGCTAAGGAAAAAAGCAAGGAAAAGGGTTATGATGTTACTGTTTCCTGATCTTTTGAGAACCTCTCTGTCTTTTCTCCTCATTCATGCCCCTAAGCACTGTTTTACTTGGCTCAAGTAGATACATCTTTATGACCCCAGATAAGAAACACTTATCCTTAACCTCCTCCATCCATTAAATAAGGAAGCCAAGGTAATATACTGTTGTTTCTTATGTACTAAGTGTTTGATGTACAGATGCAATGGTTAAAGACTGAAAAAAAAACACAACAACAACAACAAAAAAAACAAAACAAAAAAATGGCCTTCACCTGCAACAATGCAATTAGGATGCCAAAATTTCTCTGGAACATTTTTTAAAGATTAATTTGTGGAAATGTAGTTCCATGAAGTGCTCTGCAAAACATGGGTTTCAGTAGTCATGTTTACTTGAGGAACAGAGTATTTTGTGTCCTCATCTGGAGACTGACAATGTGCTATACTAAATGCCCAGAGAAGCTCTGCCTAAGGGTGAGTTAGTTTACCCAGTGATTTCAAATTCAATTGACCTTTGCTCCCCTATTTTACTGAACCTTTTTGGGGGAAATGCTGTTCTGTAGAATTACGATAGCTAGACACAAAGAGCAAGTAGTCACAAAAGAAAAAATAAAGTAAAGCTAAATACAATTTTTCTTCTGCATGCAGTATAGTGTTTATTTAAAAATAAAATCTAAAGTAAAATATTCCTATAAAAATGTACTACAGCCCTAACTGATGTGGCTCAGTGGCTAGATCATCACTCTGAAGACTGAAGGGTCCCAAGTTCAATTCTGGTGAAGGGCATATACCTGGATTGCAGGCACATCCCCAGTGAGGGTGTGCAGGATGCACCTGATCTATGTTTTTCTCTCATCGTTGTTTCTGGCTCTCTGTCCCTCTCCCTTTCTCTCTGTAAAAACAAACAAACAAACAAACAAATAAATAAATAAATAAATAAATAAAATATATTTAAAAAATAAAATAAATGCTAAAAATGTGCTGCATAAAGGACTTGCATATAGGACTTGTATATGCTATTTTTACTATTATTATTATTATAAAAAAATCACTTAGTGCTTTCTTTTGTTTCTTTGATTTGTTTTTTGTTTGTGTTCATTTTTTCGATAAATACAACCTAGTATCCCTTTATCTTTTCCTTGTTAAACCCAGGTTTGCATTTGAAACAATATCTGCATGAACTCACTGGTGACATTTCTGCCTATTCCAATCACAAGATGTCACATTTAATATTACCTGATTAGGATTTAAATACTTTTTCAGAATTAAAAGTTATAGTCAACATTTTGGAGCTTTTCCCAAGCATAAATTGTTACTCTGGACATTTAGCAGTCAATCAATAAAAATATTTCCCTTCTTGATTTATTTTCTGCAATTTAAATTTCATGTGAAATTTCAAACTATTCCATTTACTCACTTTGTGTAATGTGTCCTTATTCTCATTTTTTTTTTTAAATTAAGCAGTGGTATGATTAGTCAAAGAAAATAATTTCATTTAATTTTACTATTCCAAAACTGAACTGAATTTTTCTTTTCATCAAAATTGACTAGTTGTTACAGCAATAAAATGGACTCACAATCCAGATTAATATATAAGACTGGGAAGCAAGAGTTCTAAGGCACTTTCAAATAATTTAGATTAAATTTTATTTTTTGTTTGTTTTTTTCATAATCTTTATGGACTCAATGCTAGGATAGTCCTTTTTCATTAAGATACTAATTTTAAAAGCTTATGCATGTGTACATGTTAAAAGAGTACCAAAATGGCTGTCTTTATATGCAAATAAGAAAAATCAGATTTCATGTTTTTAAATATAAACAGAGGTTGAAAAGTATAGATTGCTTTTTGAAAGTTTTAATACAGGGTGTATCTGCAGCAGGTTTACAGTTGTGCAGATGCAAAACACAGAGTTTTTATATTATTACTTACTAATTTAAAAAAAAATTAAGATATTTTAATTTTTATTTTTACAGAGAGGAAGGAAGAGAGATAGAGAGCTAGAAACGTCGATGAGAGAGAAACATCGACCAGCTGCCTCTTGCACACCTTCCACGGGATGTGCCTGCAACCAATGTACATGCCCTTGACTGGAATCGAACCCGGGACCTTTCAGTCCTCAAACCGCTGAGCCAAACCGGTTTCAGCTACTTACTAATTTTTGTATTGTTTCCCATACAAACAACTGTAAACCTACGTTTGCCCCACCCTGTACAGTTAAAAAAATTAAAAAGAAAGAAACTAGGTACTATTTTATCTCTAGGATATCTCACGTATGTGAGGATCCATAGGTTGCACTCTAAAATTGGTAAGGATGTTTTCAAATTACTCCTTTTAGGCTTTTACTGATGATCATAAATTATCTTGGCATATTTTCCAAAACTTGACTTTATTGTGTACAATTCCTGTATTTACTGTATTATTTACAAGTGAAGTGATGTGTAGCACTGGTTCTTCCCAGGTCAATTAAAAATGCTCATTTTTAGGCAATTATTTCTTAGTTTATTTCCCACCAATGTTTTGTTTTTTTCCACGGTGCCAAGCATTCAAATCTTATATTATAGTTCTTCTCATTTGGATCTGACCAATAATGATGGAATAACTTATTGGTAGGGGATTCCTTTTCACAATATCTTCCTGGGAAATTGCCTACTTTAGGAAGTTGTGCTACCTAAAATCTCTTACATTTGCATCATCAATATTTCTTAGCTTGCTTGTCTCCAGGCTCCAATACAAATACTTAAAATAGATAAAACACCATTTATTAATATGTGAAAAATACCTTGCTTACTCTATTTTGTCTTCCTTTTGCATTTGCAGATGTCATCCACACTGTAGGGCCAATAGCAAGAGGCCATATTAATGGTTCCCACAAGGAAGACCTTGCAAATTGCTATAAATCATCTCTGAAGCTGGTGAAAGAAAATAACATCCGATCAGTTGTAAGTACTTTTGTGTTCCTTGTTTCTTATTCTTTTTTAGCCTTTATATTTTTGAAATCAGTCTTGTCCAAAATGAAGATAAAAAAAAACATTTCCAAAATTCTGAAAACTGAATTTAAGAATCTTAGTTATGTCTTCTGTTGGTTATCATGGCTTCACTTTTCTGATGCCCTAAATATTTGCTAAATTGTTCACGATGTTGGGGATTTAAAACATCATGAACGATTTAGAACCCCAGAACTGGAACCGTCTCATCTACTTTCTCTCATTTTGCCATTATCTTTTGAAGAGTGCGTGTATGTTTTTACTTGACAGTTGTTATTCTTTTAGATTTATTTTTCTTTTCCTAAACTAATATTCTGTGGTTGGGTATGCCACATTCCTTCTAAGTTTTATCAATTTAGACAGAAATTTCAGAAAATGTGGATCTAATCTATTTCTTTACCAGTAGGCTGAGATGAAAGACAGTTTTCTCTGGTTGGATTTAGAGGTATTTATTCACCTGCTTTCCTTTTAAAGCATGTACTACGTTTATTACATGTCAATTACACCAGGAAAATAAAACTATGAGAAAAATGAAAGTGTAAACACACAAGAGTGAGTTAATGTGGGCCAAATCCCTTGAGTCTTTTCACAGAGAATTAGCCGTGATGAAATTGTAGGGCAGTTAAACAATTGACTTCTTAGAATGTTGAATGGATTGGCATTGCCCTGGAGTTCACAAAAGTGGTGGTTTTATTATTTGCATGAAGAAGCAATGAAAGTCAGACACATTTAGATAACTTGGTCGTCACTGTATTTTTCATGCATGATTATAATGATAAAGCCACTTTTTCAATGTACGTTGGTGAGTTTGCTTAATATAAAAATACTTTGTACAATCTAGTTATACTGCCTTTAAAATCTTTGCATGATTATTAACAGAGCTGGATATTTTCTTTCACTCTGATTTTTTTTACAAAAAGTTATTTGTAAGTGAATCAATAAGTAAGACTATTCTGTCTTAGAGGAGAAAACTCAAGTTCAGAGAGAATGGAGCAAAGCAAACTATTAAACACATTGACTAATTTTGTTCTCTACAGAAAAATCTAAACAGGTGTGCACATTCAGGGGGTAATTAAAAAGTTGTCAATATGGCTTATTGATTTAAAAAGGCAAGGGGCTGACGTGTTCACAAAATGTTTATGTATAGACATTTCAACTTGGAAAATATGGACCTTGAGACCTGAAGAGAATTTACTAGTAAATTCAATGACATCTCTAATACTATATAATAAAGAGGTAATATGAAAATTAACTCTTATACCCTCACAATATGGCTGCCTGTCACCAAGCCAGCAGGGGAGTTAATGAGGGATAACCAAACAACTGATCAGCTTGGGATGACCAGGTCAGCAGATGGGCTGTGAGGGGTGACCAGGCCTGCAGGGGGGCAGTTGGGGATGACCAGGCTGTCATGAGGGGCAGTTAGTGGTGATTAGGCCAGCATGCAGAGGCAGTGAGGGGCAATCAAGCTGTCAGGGAGAAACAGTTAGGGGTGACCAGGCAGACAGTCAGGTGAGCAATTAGGAGCCAGCAGTCTAGGATTGTGAGAGGGATTTCTGACCTCTGATTTACACCTGATCCCAGGGATCTGGCCTAGACCGCATCAGACATCCCCGAAGGGTCCTGGGTTGGAGTTGTTACAGGCTGGGCTGAGGAGAACCCCTCTCGTGCACTAATTTCATGCATTGGGTCTCTAGTGTATAAATAAATAAGCAGAGCCTAGACTATGAGAAAGTGTAAAAATAGCAACCATTTTTTTAATAGGAAAAAAAGCATTCCTAAGATGTATAAAATAATCACATCTACTATTACACTACTTGCTACTATTACTTAAGAAGATGGTGAATTATGAAGTTAAACTAACTTTTAACAGGTGGCCTGCAGATAGACTTAAACAATACTCTAATAATTATTTTGGAATTTGAAGATCTACCATAACACCTTTAATGATGATTTTGAGAGTATACATGTTACTAGGATAAAATTAGCAGACAGTAGTAAACTTAAGTTATTCCAATATATAATAAATACGTAAAAATGGAGATGGAAAATACCTTCAAAATGTCAAGTAAATGTTCAGCTAAATTCTTATCTGTGTTATGGCATGGTTGACTGGAGTTGCCATTGAATGTCTTGAATTTTACTCATAAAAAGAAAATATCCCCTTTCTTTCTTTCTTTCTTTCTTTCTTTCTTTCTTTCTTTCTTTCTTTCTTTCTTTCTTCTTTCTTTCTTTCTTTCTTTCCTTTTTTCCTTTCTTTTTTTCTTTCTTTCTTTCTTTCTTTCTTTCTTTCTTTCTTTCTTTCTTTCTTTCTTTCTTTCTTTCTTTCCTTTTTTCTTTCTTTCTTCCTTCCTTCTTTTCTTTTCTTTCTCCCCATCCCTGCCTCCTTTTTTTTTTCCTTGAAGGAGAAAACTGGCTTTCTACTTTACATGGAATCTGGTATTCTTGAGCAACATTGCAAACATAATTCTAATGTAATCAAATCCTCCTTATTTGAGGGTTACTAGAAAATTCTTAGAAATATGATTGACTGAATAGGTATTCTATAATATAGGCTTGTACTCTGTAGATTGATTATATTAGATGGAAAAAATGGTTGATATAAAAAGTCTGCTTGTGAAAATGGAAGAAAAACTTAACTTGAGCTCATTATATACATGTCAAATAAGATTCTCATAAACCCAGAATAGCTTACTGTTTGACCTACCAGTTATCACTGTGTAACTATGGATAAGTCATGTCAATATACTATAGCCTTGGTTTCCACATACAGTAATCTGTAATTTATTTCTGTTATTTCATAACTAACTCATAAGCTATTATGGGGAGCAGTAGAGATGATGAATATAAGATAACTAAAAACATGTAATTCTCTATCAAAGTATTTGTCAATATCACTTCAAGTATAAGATAGTTTTCACATTTACATTTTTATGATTGGCAAATTTAGAAGATTGATATCATTCTTCCTTTGATATATGTTTTGAAAACCAGATATCTAGATGTTAATCATATCATTTGTTGATGCTTTTAAACCAGAACTATATTGTTATAAAGCATTCAGTTAATCTAGTTGTAAAGGAAAATTCAATACCTTCCTTCTACCCTACTTTATCTTTCTTCCCTGTGAATTTCCTTTCTTATACACACAAAATACTTCTTTTCTAGTCACCAAATGTGTGGAGGTTTTAACCCACACCAAGCAATTCTCTTCAACACTATCTGGCTTTCCTATAATTTCTGACACTGTCTACCTGGAGATAGAGCAAGATATCAAACTTTAGGGGCTCATTCCCACAAGATTGTGTGTGTGTGTGTGTGTGTGTGTGTGTGTGTGTGTGTGTGTGTGCGTGCTCACGTGCGTACACACACACACACACACACACACACACACACACACACACACAAACACACACACTTCACCTGTAGCTCTGAGCAAAGGGCTTTAGATGGGAAGTTTCTGTGACCCCCTTCTTAAGTTCAATGAATTTCCTAGAGTGGCTCACAGGACTCAGGGAAACACTTTTTACATTTACCAGCTTATTAAAAGATATGATAAATAACTCCAAATAATCTCAAGGCTTGGTGACCTACATTCAGAGACCCAGACTCATGGACTTGCAATCCTCTCATGGCTGTACTATCTGAAACTGACAACTTCTTCAGCCATCATACACAGAATTTGCAAAATCACAAATGAATTTTTTAGGCTTAGCTCAAAAGTGATACACATAATTTCTGTTCTCATTTTAGAGACTAGAACTACTCATATATCCCTGCCTACTGCAAGTGGGTCAGACTAATGTCCATGAATTAATGAAATGGTGGACACTAGTTTTCTGCCAAAGGATGTGGGATCACAGTAGAGGGGTCAGAGATAATAGCTTTATTATAATTTCTCCAAAGAAATATATTCCTTAAGTTTTTATTGTAGGTAAAACAAATAATATGACCATGCATTTATTTAATAAATAGTAATACTCACTGTGCATTAAGCTAATTTTTAGATATCTTCCAGAATATATAATGGTGATCCTCAAATGGAGGGTTTGTCTCCATCTCCTGACCATCCTGATAAATAAATATAGAGAAAATCATCTTATTCATTCTATGATTTGAGAGTACTCTCTTGTTCTCTCATCACTTTAAAAAATATCTTCCCACACATGCCTGAAATTCCATAACTGATGTATCATTTAAGATGGTCAGACATTGTTCTTTCTCTGCAATTTCCCTTTAAAATGAAAATACTCATGAGATTAGAAGATAATTAATTTTCTAATACCTTAATATGAAGGAATTTATCAAATTACTCCTCACTTTGGCAGGATAAATTAGAGGATGATAAAAGGACCAAGCATCCGTCTGCTAGAGGAAGAGACTGGAAAGGGTCTCTAAAGGGAAGTTGGGAGAAAGAGGAAACAAAGTGGGAAACAAATAAATTTCACTTACCACCTATTTTTTTAAGGAGATACCTTCTTAAATGGAGAAGAGGGAAGTGATAGCCATACATGACTATCTAGAAATAAGGTAGTTATTTTATTTTTATTTTTTTTGCTGCATGTGAAATTTGTGGATAAATTTTTCCCTATGAAAAACATAAAATTCCTTTTAATAATTTAGCACAGAAAATGTCTTTACATAATTATTTTTCTATTCATTGTTTTTGGTGGCTTTTAAAAATGTACACCACATGTTTGTTTTAAATGTTAAAAAATAAAAATAAATTATGTAATATATCTAATGGCTTATTTTAGAGTGGCATTTCTCTTCTATAAATTATTACTTAGCACCCCTGGAGTAATACCAAAGAATGTTTAAATTTAGGATTTTAATCATGATTGTCATTCCAATCTTACCATAATTTCAAGTGAGAAATAGTCCATGACAATAGTCCATGCTTCTTAGACCTAGTTTGTGCAAATATCTTTTTCCTTACAATTTACTTCCAATAT